TGCACCGAGCCCAGCCCAGCCCTGGGCTCACAGATCCAAGCCCATCAGCCTCAGGGGCTCCAGCCTGGGGAGGGGAACAGGCCCATAAAGGGTCCAGCCCAGCCCTGGGCTCACAGAGCCAAGCCCATCAGCCTCAGGGGCTCCAACCTGGGGAGGGGAACAGGCCCATAAAGGGTCCAGCCCAGCCCTGGGCTCACAGAGCCAAGCCCATCAGCCTCAGGGGCTCCAGCCTGGGGAGGGGAACAGGCCCATAAAGGGTCCAGCCCAGCCCTGGGCTCACAGAGCCAAGCCCATCAGCCTCAGGGGCTCCAGCCTGGGGAGGGGAACAGGCCCATAAAGGGTCCAGCCCAGGCCTGGGCTCACAGAGCCAAGCCCATCAGCCTCAGGGGCTCCAGCCTGGGGAGGGGAACAGGCCCGTAAAGGGTCCAGCCCAGCCCTGGGCTCACAGAGCCAAGCCCATCAGCCTCAGGGGTTCCAGCCTGGGGAGGGGAACAGGCCCATAATGGGTCCGAGGCACTGAGGAGGGAGCAATTGGTGCTGCCCGAGCAGCGTTTTGAGGATTAAATTGGAGTTTTCTAGCTCACCAAACCTCAAGGAGAACAATGCGGGTACAGGGCACACAGACGCAGAGGCAGAGCTGCCTGTGGCTGGCACAGGGCGGGCAGAGGTTGTGGGGGAGAGGGCCGAGGGGTCCGGAGCCCTCACCTCCCTCCCTCCGTCCCTCCCGGCGGCTCGCAGAGGACTACCAGCAGTTGATAGAAGACATCGTTCGAGACGGACGGCTCTACGCCTCGGAGAATCACCAGGAGATTTTGAAGGTGCGTGAGCTTCTCTATGGGAAGGGACTCGTGCAACCCCAGGACAGGCTGTGGGCTCCAGGGACCTCCCTGCCCAGCCCCCCTAGTGAGGGAAGGTGGGGGGTCAGAGGGCCCTGGGGGTGGGGCTGAGGCTGGCACCTCTGTCCTTCCAGACCAGGAGCTCCAAAACCAGCTCTCTGTGGGGTCTAGCCCCCGACCTGGTGGCCTGTCCTGGGGCAGGTCCCTTACCAGCTCTGAGCCCCTCTCCTCATCTGTGAAGTGAGGGTAGCTGACAGAGTGGTATCTTTAAATCAATGGAATCCGATGCCGCCTTTGGGACGGACTCCCTCCTCATCCCATCCATGGCCGGAGACACAGCCACCTTGTCACGGAGGGGCCGTGGCGTCAGCAGCTGACACTCCAGGTCAAGACCCTGGGTCCTCACCAGGAGAGGCCACCCCAGGGGCCAGCCCCTGCAGACAGCACCCCCGGGCTCCGGGCTCAGCCCCTGCAGACAGCGCCCCGGGCTCCAGGCTCCGGGCTCAGCCCCTGCAGACAGCACCCCGGGCTCTGGGCTCAGCCCCTGCTGACAGGGCTCCGGGCTCTGGGCTCAGCCCCTGCTGACAGGGCCCCAGGCTCCAGGCTCCTGGCTCAGCCCCTGCTGACAGCACCCCAGGCTCCGGGCTCTGGGCTCAGCCCCTGCTGACAGGGCCCCAGGCTCCGGGCTCCTGGCTCAGCCCCTGCTGACAGCACCTCAGGCTCCGGGCTCCGGGCTCAGCCCCTGCTGACAGGGCCCCAGGCTCCGGGCTCCTGGCTCAGCCCCTGCAGACAGCGCCCCAGGCTCCGGGCTCTGGGCTCAGCCCCTGCTGACAGGGCCCGAGCCTGCAGGGCAGGAGTGGGGCTGGGGCTGGGGCAGTCACAGGCTGTCACTCCCAGCTGGGTGGCCCCAGCCAGCCCTCTGAGCCCCGCCTCCAGGGCTGAGAAATAGCTCACAGCCCTGGGGTCCCCGGCCTGTACTCTGCTGCAGCGGCAGCGGGCAGGCAGTTTGTAAGTGGAGAGATTACAAACCTGGAGATCTCGGGGCTCGGAGCTCCTCCTCTCCTCCTTGGCGCCCGGCTGGTGAGTGGGAACAGAGGGTCGTCCTGGCCTATCAGTCTGTCCTGGAGACAGTGCCCACCTCTTTCCCCCTCACCTGTCCTCTGCGGCCTGGCCCTCTGCCCCCACCGCTGGGAGCAGCTCTTCAGAATAGAAGCGCTCAGCTAGGATGGACACCTGGGCCAGCAGGGCCCAGCCCAGCATGGCCACCACCTGCTCTGCAGGGCCTGGGCCTCCGCACCCCGACACTCCACTCACCACGGCCTCTTTCCTCAGTGATCGCCCACCCAGCCTCTGCTCTCAGCTCAGGCGCCCGTCCTCTGGGCAGCCGCCTGGACCTCCCTGGCCAGGTCGTACTCAGCGTCCCACGGCCTTCCCGTCAGCCCTGCAGTTTCGGTTTGTCCTGTGGTGACAGTATTTGGCGCCCGTCCTCCTCATAGCGGGCTGCAGGGGCCCATGCACAGCATTCTGCCCCCAGCACCTGGCAGCGCACTTGGCACACAGAGGGCCCCACGAGTGTTTCTCAAGGGCATGATGCTGCCTGCACGTGTGTAAGAGAGACTACGAGCGCGTGCTGGGTCGTGTCACAGTCCGTGGCATGGTGGCTGCCTTCGCTGAGCCCCTTCCATGGGCCACGTGTGGGGGGTCTGCTGGAGCCAGGCTCACACTGCTAAGGGTCTCCTCCGGGTCACATCGCCCCCTTTAGACATGTCCCCCCTGGGCTCAGAGACGGGGTCTGGCTACTAAGCGACAGCATCAGAGTGCAGACCACATCTGCCCGTGCAAAGGCCGCGGTGAGGCCGAGTGCTGTGCTGAGCGGGACGTAGGCCTGTGCGCCAGGCTCCTTGTTCACTGCTGCCTTCGCCCCCCGCGCAGCCCTGAGAGGAGGGGACCCCCCACACACACACAGAGGAGTTACCTTCAGAGGGCGGGGCTGTTCCCAGGTTAGGGAGCAGGTTCTGGAAGTAGTTTCAAACCCAGGTCTTTGGCCCCCAAAGCCCGTGTTCTCTGTTCTGTGTCCTGGTTTCCAACAGAGTTTTTGCTGTGCCTTGTTTTCTGCAGGAGAACCCTTATAAATTAAGGAGCATGGGAGCTCCAAAAGTTGAAACCAGTAGACTGTTTTTTAAGAGTTTATTTGAGCCAAACTGACATATGCCGGGAGCAAGATCTCAAATGCTCCCCCAATAGACTATTAAAAACCAATTCGAGCCCAGCCAGCGTGGCACAGTGGTTGAGCATGGACCCATGAACCAGGAAGTCACGGTTCAATTCCAGGTCAGGGCACATGCCTGGGTTTCGGGCTCGATCCCCGGTGTGGGGCGTGCAGGAGGCAGCCGATCAATGATTCTCTCTCATCACTGATGTTTCTTGATCTCTCTCCCTCTCCTTTCCTCTCTGAAATCAATAAAAATATTTTTTTTTAAAATTCGACACTTAAAAGTAAAAGCCATTTATGGCAGAGTGTGGGCTCCTGAAACTCACCAGCAGCCCAACATCTCCCCCCGCCCGCACCTGTGCCGACACCCCTCAGCCCCCATCAGGCCCCCCGACACTGCAGAGGAGGATAGCCGGGCCCTCCAGCCCAGCCTGACCTCACCCGGCCCGGCATGTCTTGCAGGACAAGAAGCTGATCAAGGCGCTCTTCGACGTGCTGGCGCACCCCCAGAACTACTTCAAGTACACGGCCCAGGAGTCCAAAGAGATGTTCCCACGCTCCTTCATCAAACTGCTGCGCTCCAAAGTGTCCCGATTCCTGCGGCCCTACAAATAACGCTGGTGCACCCGCCGCTCCTGCCGGCAGCATCCCCAGGGCGGTGAGGGAGGGCCCGCCCCCACGCAGAAGCTAAGAGGCGCCAGGGCATCCGCGTGGCCGTGGGGCTGCCCTCAGGAAGCGCTGACCAGCCCGTGGAGGGCGAGACCGCGCCCAGGCAGAGCCCAGCCCAGCCACCGCTCCCAGCGCTGCCCCTGGGAAGCATTGCTTACAGCAGCCTTTCTCCTTCGCTCCCTCCCTCCGCCTGCTGTTTCCAGGACACCGCCCGCTCCTGGGCCAGGCCCTCTGCACATGCCCAGGCCACGCAGGCGGTCCTGGCGAGCACGACGGGGAGACTGCAGGTGCCCCTGAGTGACACTCCGAGTCTCCAGGAGGCTCTGGGAGGGGTGATGGGAGAACTGAGCCAGGCCCTGGAGAGAAGGGCGTGCGGGCGGCTGCAGGGCTTTGATGAGCCGGAAGATGCCCGCAGGGTGTCCACACCGTAGGCCCCTTGGCACAGGCCCAGGACCGGTTGCCCTGTGGTTAGCTCTACGGATTCTGGCGGGACAGAAAGGACTGCCGGGGAGGAACCTGTAGATGTGTGCTTTTCCTCAATAGAGCGTCTAAGTATTATATATGTATAAATATAAATACAAATATAGAGAGACTTCTACTTGTGGGTGCTTTAGGGAAGACTCTGTAAACACTGACCCCTCGTCTCCACCACCAGTGCGCGCCCAGCTGTCCCGCTTCCCTCGCTGATCAGGCTGCGTCCCAGGCCCTGGCACCCGGTTCATGGAGGCGGGAGCTGCGGGCTGGGGCGCTTTGGAAGAGTCCTTTGGGAGCTGGGCACCGAGGCTTTCTGGAGTGCTGCCCTCAGTGGAGGCACGTTCCCCTCCAGCCCTCCCGGGGGTGCAGGGGCCTACACTCCCCTTCAGGAGGGGCCGTGTCTGACCCTGAGGCATGACCTCGGGGTCCGTGCTGTGCCCTCATGCCACCGGAGCAAGCCCTTCCCAGAGGGCACTGGCCGTGTGCTCACAGGGGCCTCGAGGAGCAGCGCCCACTCCTTGCTTTTACTCTCGAAGGAGACAGGCCCAGGGAGGCAGGTGCCCCCCCCCCCCGCCCCCCTGTGTCGGGGTTGGGGCCAGAGGCCCAGCCCCAGCGAAGCCCTCTTTCTCCTGTGCTGGCTGCCTCCCTCTCCGTCTCCCTCTCAGTCTCTCTTTAAAAAGGAGAGCCTGGGACCAGACCCGGTGGCCTGGAGTCCCACTCAGCCAGGAAGCGGGCGCCTGCTGCTGCCTGCTGGAGCCGCGGGCACCAGGCGCAGGGCATGCGCAGGAGGTGGCTGTATTTTTAGGGTTAACGTATTCAGAATCCCAAGGAACATGGGAGAATCTTCAATGAACGCCCCCAGACTGTTGCCTCCGCACCCCCTCCCCCTCCCTCCTCTCCCCAGCCACAATGACCAGCCCGCAAGGAGCTCAGGGTGAGAAGGTCACGGCACCCTGAGCGGGTCAGGATCGAGGCAGGCCAGCGAGGGCCCGGAGACTGGGGGCTGGGGACAAGCCGGATCAGGGTGGATTTTACAACCCAGGTGAGGGCTCAGGACCCCGGAATTCTGCTGCCATGACCCATCTCGGTATGGCGAGTCCCCTGAGTGCCACCAGCACCTTCTCTGTCAAATCCAACTCCCGTTGGGGTCAGCACTCGGGTAGGTCAGGGTCAGCAGAGGAACCCCAGGGCCACACCGCCCTTCCCTGGTCCCCGTCCCGGAAAGCCAACCCTGGCTTCCAGAAAGAGGCCTGTCTCCCTGTCAAGCCCTTGGTCATTCCTGGACATTAGCAGGCGTCCCAGAATGGCCCCAGCAGCTCCTGCCCAGCGTGTGGTGACCGGCTGGAGGAGGCCGAGGGTCCAGGTGGTGTCTCGGGCAGCTTTCCCTCCTGCCGTGCGCTGGTCGGGGACACGCTGGTCGGGGACACGCGGATGCAGTAGAACTGAGGCGCAGGCCTAGAAGTCCAGGCTGCAGTGGCTCAGAGAGGCCAGCTTCCAAAGCCTGAATCTCCCCCGCCTCTTACAACCCTGTTTCCCTCCCAAACACGGCCACGGCCACCCATGTTCCTAGACAAGAGGCCCGACCTGCGGAGCTGTGGCGGGTACGAGGTGACATTGGGGGGTGAATAATTCTTCCAGCACCTCCACTGCCCAGCAGAAAAAGAAGATGCTGAGCTAAGCTGGGTCATTTAGTAAATGTTTGCTGAGCACCTACTGTGTGCTAGGCTCCTAGAAAGGGAGAGAGCCCACGGCTGGGGCTGACGGATCCCTGGAAAGCCCCCTGGATGAAGAGACAAAGCCGGGGCTGGGCAGGACGGCGTCTCTGCCCCACGCAGTGCCCGCTGCCTGTGCCTCCACAGCCAGTGCTCCGGAAGGGAACTTCCTCCCTTGTCACCAGGAACCCCAGCTTTTCTTACCTCCCTGCTCCATGCTTGGAAGTCAGTCAACCTGGAAAACTGCATTTTACATCCAGGCTCCCTTCCTCATCGAGTAGCACATGGTGGCAGCCAGCCCTCTGACCAGGGAGGCAGCACGGAGCCAACGTCAGGCCAAAGGTGGGAGGACTTGACGTTGAGAGACACTGCAAAGGGCTTGGTGCTCCCACGACCATGTGAGCAGTACCCCCAGACCGCCAGCCCCTCCAGGAGGAAGTCCTAAGAAGCCCCAAGTCTAAGCACCTACTGTGTGCCAGCCACCAGCAGGGGCGAGTCAGCCCCACCCCAGGACCAGACGACATGGCCATGGCCACACCCTGCAGGTGGCCCCCAAGGAGCGTGCCCCTGTGCTTCCCTGAGGCCCCCAGAGCCTGAGCAAACTCTGACATCCTCTAGGCCCCAAGTCTCAGCAGGAAGGGCCGAGGTCCCCCCACCTTGCCCGGCTCAGGGCTCGGCCTTTCCACCTGCTCACACAAAGCTCTGTCCCTGGGGGTGGGTGCAGCCACACTTGTTCTTCAATCTGGAGCTGGAGACTCAGGGAGGCCAGGTGACCTGCCTAAGGCGGGTAGTAACTCTAGCAGAATCCAAACCAAGCCCATCTGATCCCGAAGCTGATTTTGGGTCGGGCAGCCCTGGCAGTGGATTGTCCAGGGCGGGGATCTGAAGGGCAGAGCAAGGAGGGGTGGGGTGGGGACCAGTGACAATCCCTCCCTCCAGGACCAGCTCATTCAGAAGAGGATGGCCTCTGCCTGCTCCCTGGTGGGACAGCCATTTAGTCCATTGGAACTGGACCGGCAGGGCGAGCGAGGCCGCAGCACGGCGCCCACCCGAGGTTCCTGCTGCTTCCAGCCCAGGCCCCGCGCAGCCTGGGGAGACGCCCAGTGCCCCCTCCCTAGCTCCCCTCTTCCAGGCCCAGCACACGCTCATAGAGAGCAGGCCCTCGCCGGCAGAGGCCACACAGGTCCCGGGACTGCGTATGCAGAACCTTCAACAGCCGGAGCGATGCAGCCAGGCTGCTCCCCCAGGTCTGCACGCGTGGGTGGGGGCCCGGGAGCTGGGCCTGTGCCCGCCGCCTCCCCGGGGCTTCCTTCCGCGAGGGCTGCTGTGTGGTCTGAGCCCGGCACCACTGCCTGGAGTGACAAAGGCCCACGTAACTGCGTTGCCGTGAATACTGTTTGCTCCATGATGTTCACACACATGCATGTCATGGAACACGTGTGAAAAGCACTCACAGTAAACAGAAGGTGAACTGGAATCCTGCTCCCTTCCTCTCCTCATCAGAGGTCACGGTGGGGTGGGAAGGACCACGGTAACTGAAATCAGAAAAGAAAAAAACGTTCTCAGCAATGCGCTGGCTGGGCTGAGGACGGAAGGAAAGGGGAAGGAAAGGGGCCACCGTGGGCTCTGGGAGGCAGCGCAGCGAGTGCGCGACCTGCAGGGGGAGGGCTCCCCACGTGAGGGAGAGGCGCTCCCAAGGAGCTGCCGAAAAGTGAACAGTGAACGTCGGGGCTCGAGCCCCATTGCTCCTCAGGACCGGCCATGGGCCGATGTTCTCCCAACGGACTCTCACCTGGGAGCCACGGTCAGCAAGCCTCCGGAGACGTGGGACCCTGGGAACCAGGTGCATGACCAGTGGAGTGTGTGTGTGTGTGTGTGGGTGTGGGTGTGTGTGTGGATGTGGCCATGGCTTTCATCAGGTTCTCAACCCTAAAAGGCTAATAACCACTATTCTCCTCAATAATGTGGAGAACCCCTGGCATCATGCACTCGACAGAAGGAAAAACAATTTTATAAAGGATATTAATATTCCAGATGAGATACGGGAACACAGTGATTTAAAAGTCTAAGGAGCCCTGGTCAGTGTGGCTCAGTGGATAGAGCGTCGGCCTGCGGACTGAAGGGTCCCAGGTTCGATTCCTGTCAAGGGCATGTACTTTGGTTGCGGGCACATCCCCAGTAGGGAGTGTGCAGGAGGCAGCTGATCGATGTTTCTCTCTCATCAATGTTTCTAACTCTCTACCCCTCTCCCTTCCTCTCTGTAAAAAATCAATAAAATATATTTTTTTTAAAAAGTCTAAGGAAAGCCCTGGTCAGTGTGTCTCAGTTGGTTGGGCATCATCCCATTCACTCAAAGGTCACCGGTCAATTCCCTGTCAGGGCACGTGCCCAGGTTGCGGGGCTCAATCCCTGGTTGGGTGAGTACGGAAGGATCAGTGTTTCTTACATCAATGTTTCTCTCTCTCCTCCCTCTCTCTCTCAAAATCAATAAAAACATATCTTAAAAAATAAAAATAGCCCTAGCTGGTTTGGCTCAGTGGATAGAGCATCGGCCTGCGGACTGAAGGGTCCCAGGTTCGATTCCAGTCAAGGACACATGCCCGGGTTGCAGGCTCAGTCCCCGGTGGGGGGCATGCAGGAGGCAGCCGATCAATGATTCTCTCTCATCATTGATGTTTCTATCTCTTTCTCCCTCTCCCTTCCTCTCTGAAATCAATAAAATATATTTTTAAAATAAAGATATAAGTCTATGGAAACTTCAGGGAATATACCCAAAAGAATTGAAAGCAACCTTGAAGATATTTTTCTTATGTTCATCTGAAAAGCCAAACCATCCCCATTAATGTGTTGGCTCCACTGGCCTAGGAATTATTCCATAGTTGAAGCCAACTTGTATCAGTCATTACATAGTTCCAACTTTTTCACCCAATTTGTGGGACTAAAATTAAGCTATCTGAAGTTCACTCTGCTCCAAGTGAAAAACTAGCATTATTGTGAATGCTACTCAGCTAAGTTCAGTTAAAATGTTGAATAGTAAAGGCCTTTTTCTGCAATGATAATATATATATATAAAAGGCTAAGTGACCAACTGTAAGACCGACTGGCCGGTACATACGGCGCGCACTGGCAATTTAAAAATAAACATCGGCTTGCGCATGTGCGATACATATAAAGCTCTCGCTGCCGCCAATTGCGCGCGCGTGTTTCGATCTGTCATTGTCGATCGTGAATTTGGGTGACACTTCTATTATAGAGAAAGGGTGAATAGCGATATTAAAATATTTCTTCTAATTACTTTCCTTTCAATGTGCACGAATCTGTGCACCAGGCCAATCGTACTCATATAAAATTGGATGTGGCCCAGCATAGAGAGACTAACATTCTTGGTAAATTCATAATCCCATGGAGCAGAAAGGCACTTGGAACTGGATGTGGTTAATAATTTCATCCAAACAAGCTGTAAAATTATACCAATTGAATTAAAAATCGTAGTTGTCAAAATTGTACAAGTACTTTTTTCAATCCTCACCTGAGGATACATTCTTACTGTTTTTTGTTTGTTTTTTAGAGAGGAAGGAAGTGGGAATGAGAGAGAGCAACATTAATCGGTTGCCTCCATTACGTGCCCCAACCCAGGGTCAAATCTGAAACCTGAGTATGTGCCTTGATCAGGAGTCAAACCCTCGACCCTCTGCACTGGACAACTCTCCAACCGAGCCACGCCGGCCAGGGCCACAAGTATGTTTTTCATCGAGTAACTGAACCACATTTTTGTGACAAAGCTGATGTTAGATTAAAAAAAATAAAAAAAAAACAACTCCCGCAGGGCAGGGCAGTAACATGTTTTCCTCTGGGCCCCGCACCAGCTGGAGTTTGGAAGTTTGAGCCTTTACAAACCAACTCAAGTGTCTTAGCCACATTGAACACGTCCTCTGAACTGGCACATTTTGTTTAAATTCAGTTTAAAACACTTAATCAAAGTACTGGTCTTCACCAACCGAAGCACCAAAAAAACCCCACAAACTTCAGCCTTTGAGCCTTTTGGCAAAATGCAATGATTACCAAGTTGCAAGGGGAAGCACGGCTAAGGCAGTGAGGGGAGGAAGCAGCTTGCCTCTGCCCTGAGGTTCTCGCTGGTCTAATCATCACAGACGTGAGACAGATGAGCAAGAGAAAGTAACCAAAGTCCGTGCATTCGCATGGGAACCCCGAATGCATGAGGGAAGCTGCCTCGGGAGCTTCAGGTCCTGCAGGTCCCTAGGAGCAGCGGCTCAGCAGTTAGCAGCTTCCCTGCCTGGAGAGAGGGTTACAAAGGCTCTGCCATGATCTCTTATGGGCAAGGCCTGATTCTAATCCTCTAGGGCAGTGGTTCTCAACCTTCCTAATGCCAACCCTTTAATACAGTTCATGTTGTGGTGACCCCCAATTTCATTGTTACAAATTGAACATAATTAAAGCATAGTGATTAATCACAAAAACAATATGTAATTATATGTTTCCCGATGGTCTTAGGCGACCCCCGTGAAAGGATCGTTAGACCCCCAAAGGGGTCGCGACCCACAGGTTGAGAACCGCTGATAAATCATGGGGAGAGGGGGCTCGCGGGGGGGCGGGGGGGACACACAGAAGTTTCTCTTCGGGGCAGCCTCGAGCTAATAGCCCGCATGGCCCTGGGCTCATCTTGGGGTGGCCCCATCTGAACCCCACAGAAGCAAAAGAACTTGGAAAACTGAAATGTCCACAGAATGACTTTCAAGTTCTGTAATTACACCTTGAAATGCTTGGGCAATACCTCAACTTGTAAGAACCCCCCCCAACCCGCCCCGCTTTAACTGCACACACTTGACTCCCGTGTAAATGCAAGGACGCGGAGAGGCCCCACTTCGCAACCTGAAGGCGGCGAAGCACTGGGGACCGCGAGCCCCTCCCTCCGAGGGCGGCGATGGCTCCGCAGGCACCAGCCTGGCCACGCGCATCTCCGGCCTCAGCTTCTCCTT